CTGACGGGGCTGTGGGAAAAGAGGAACCCTGCTCCACTGCTGGTGGGAGTGTAGACTGGTGCAACCACTGTGGAAATCAGTATCAGGTACCTCAAAGAACTAGGACTGGAAGTCCCATTTGACCAAGCTATTCCCCTGGTGGGTATATTCCCCAAAGAATTAAAAGTATCAACCAATGACAAATGCTGGCGGGGCTGTGGGTAAAAAGGAACACGGTTGGCAGGAGTGCAGACTGGTGTGACCACTGTGGAAATCAATGTGGAGATCCCTCAAAAAACTAAAAATAGAGTTTCCATTTGCCCCAGCTATTCCTCTTCTTGGTATCTTCCCGGAAGAATTAAAAGCATCATACCACAGTGATATATGCACACCCATGTGTATAACAGCACAGTTTGTAATAGCTAAAGCTTGGAAACAGCCCAAATGCCCATCAACCAACAAACGGATAAAGCTGTAGGTTTTTTTTCTTTTTCTTTTCTTTTATTTATCTATTTGGGGGGGGGTACCAGGAATCAAATTCAGGACCTTGAGCTTATCAGACAGGCACAGAAGATGTGGATTTTTTAATGCAATGGAGTACTACTCTGCCATAAAGAAGGATGAGCTTGAGACATTTATAGCTAAATGAATGCATCTTGAGACCGTACTCTTAAGTGAAATAAATCAGACACACATGTTTAAATACTGCATTGTTTCTCTGGTGTGAGAAACTGAAAATGTAATGAGGACTAAAATGTATACCAGATATTGGGAAATGGACAGAAGATGTTCAAATGGGAAGGGGAACATGGGGGGGGGATAAGAAAGAAGGGACAAGAAAAAAGTGAAACTAGAAGGAAAAAATGGAAACAAAGCTTTTGTGTACAGGGAGGGCAGGGGGGTTGAGGGGAGGGGGAATGGGAAAAAAGAAGCAGCAGGATAGGTCATGTACAGCTCCACGTTCCCTGTGATGAGTGTTCTCATTATGTATTTCTTTTTTTTTTTTTTTTGGTACCGGGGATCGAACTCGGGTCCTTGCACTTGAGCAGCAGGTGGCAAAACCACTGAGCTAAATCCCCGGCCCTGTATTTCTAAAATGTACCAATAAATGTTTTTTTTTTAAAAGCAGATACACAAAAACTTGTGTTGTGGAAGTTACACTTACTTCATGGTAATTAACCAATTACAAGCGCTTTTAAATTAATGTGTGTGGACACCATAGAGGTCAGAATGGCCTTATTGAAAGTCCTGTGTTCTGGCTTGGTTCGTGCCAGTACAACCCAAGGGGGGACCGTACACAAAGCAAGTACAGGTAAGTGATGAGGTCAGACTAAACTGGCAGTGCCACATTCATCGTTACAGCTGAGCATTACAGAACGTGAAAGCCCAAAGACCAGAAGTCTATTGCTAAAGCGATTCTTACTCTGCACCGTTCCTTCTACCTAAATGCTTCCAGGGGACCAATGCAGCCACCCCTCCACCTGGGGGCAGGGACAGAGCCTCTGGAGTTTACACTCACATGGGCCACAGACACTCGGTGGTAAACACTCGGTGGTCTTCCTGATGCCCCTTTCAAGTAGATGCCAGCTGTCCCCTTCGAACCAATAAATGTTTTGCTTCAAAAAAAGAAAAATGCATGTTTGAGCCCAGGTTGAGTTACATAGGGACAGAGCAAGACCCTGTCTAAATTTTTTTTAAAGGCCTGGGGATGTAGCTCAGTGCAAGGGCCCTAGGTTCAATCCCCAGTCTACACACACACACACACACTGACACCCACACAGCTTTTGCTGGCATGCCTGATCTTAAGAGTCATATGAGAGGCTGGCATGGTGGCACACATCTATAATTCCAGCACTTGGGAGGCTGAGGCAGGAGGATCTCAAGTCCAAGTCCTGCCTGGACAACATAGATCCAGTCTCTAAGAGCTGGACAGGTAGCACAGTATAAAGGTCCTGGGTTCTATCCCCAGTACAAAAACAGTCCTGTCAAAGGCCTCAGACCTCAGCCCCTCCCAGGGTGGAGAGACAGGAACCCTGCAGATGTGGCTCCAGCTCTGGGTCTGGGGGAGGGGTGGCCTCTCCACCCCTCCCAAGTCATCAGGGGAAGCCCCTCCCCTCCACCTCTGTACTCTGCATTCCTCCTCCCCTGGCCTGTGGCAACTTTGTCCTGTAACCCACGGCCCACTCTGAGTCCTCCCAGCTGTGACCTCACTGGTTGCCCAGGGTCGAAAGTTGTGTGGCAGCAGAGCCCCAGCGCCAGGCACATGGTCAGCGCCCAACAGAGGTCTGCCATGTGCATGGGGCAGCAGGTAGTAGAGAGCTGGGCCTGGCCACAGGGAGGGACACAGTCCTAGGCCAGGGCCAGGCCCAGAGAAATGGTGTCCCAGGGAGCTGGGATACACAGAAGCCGGGCCCCCAGACCAGCGCAGAGTAGAGCTCACTGCCAAGTTCCAGGCGATCCGGAGTCACACATGGACACTGGCCCTTTAAATCTCCCTGGCCAGGGCTGTGATTGCCCCAGAGCCTGGGCAGGGCGAGGCCAGCTGTTGAGACAACAGAGCGGACCCAGCTGTCGCAAGGAGCAAAGCCAGGACCCAAATGGTGACATTTCAGACCCCGGCAGGCGAGCAGGCGACCGTGGGGTCAAACAGGTCCTTCAGTCATTCATCCACAGACACTGGCTGGACCTAAAGTGTGTGTCACGCGCTCCCCGGGCTCCCCTGGGACGGGGGATCTGAAGATGTGGAAGGCATAGTCCCCCGCTGGGGAGAAGAGACGTGGAGACAAATAATTCTAAGTCAGTGAGCCAAGTGGTAATAGCAGAATTACCAAGAGCTCTGGGAGCCCAGAGGAAGGAGGGGCTGAGCCTGAAAGGTCAGCAGAGGCCACCGGGAGCCTGAGATGCCCCCGAGAATGAGGGGAAGGGCATCCGAGGAGTGGGATCATTGCTGCAAAGGCAGGGAGAGGTGAGGGCCCGAGGTGAGCACCTCCAGTGCCGTGTAGGCCTTGCCGGGCTCCCCCCCAAGCCCTGGGGAGCTATAGAGGAATGCAAGCCGGGATCCACTCACATCCGGGGGGTCCCTGTGGCAGAGGCACAGAGGTCAGGAGGCCACGGCTGCTCCCAGAAGCAGGAGCAGAGATGGCCCCAGGGACAGCAGGGTGCCTGTCCTCAGAACGGTCACCAGGGCCAGGCAGAAGCGTGGTCAGTCACCTCATGGGCTTGAGTTCGGGAACAGCCTGGGGACCTTGAACAGAGGCCCCGCCCGGCCTTGCTTCCCCACCAGTGGAATGATTTGCAATGGAACAACGCCTAACGAGGGGATCTCTGAAGAGTCTCGCAGCTGCACCACAACCCTGGGACACAGGAAGCGGCAGAGAGAAGGACAGAGCTCATCCCGCTGGGGCCCCTGGGGACACGGGAGGGAACCTCGGGTGGGCACCTGCCATGCACTCTCCGTGTCTCCATCAAGAGTGACGTCTGGCCCATGGCGCTGCCCGCCCAGGATGCCCAGGGTGCTGCTCTGACCTCAGAACTCTGGGAAGCCCAAGGCTCCCAGAGTGGAGCTGTGGGCATGGAAGGGAAGTGAGTGAGATCCAGAGGTCCTGGCCAGGCTGGGGGAGACAGAATCTCACCAGTTTCTTCCCCAACACCGTAGCTTCTCCGGGCCCCTGAGAGCCTGCAGTTCTGAACTCAGGATGATCCACCTCTCCCTCTGTTTTCAGAAGGTGCCGTCCCAGTGGAGCGCTTCTTTCCTATCATGTTTGCGACGGGAGCACATCACCCATCCACTGAAAACCAGCGTACACTGCCACGCCCTGCCCAGGAACCCGTCCTGTCCCCTGTGCCTGCATGGGGACCCAAGGCCAGCCTCAGGGCTGGATCAGAACCCAAGGCTCTGGACACGTGGCAGTCACAGAGGGATGGCCCTTGCGTACCGGGGGTCCTTCCTCACACCTCTCAGTATCCCGGTCTCAATTACACCTGATCGCCTCAATGCCCAACCGCCCCAGCCCCCTTGCTCCACCCCAGCTGTTTTTCTCAAAGAACAGAAAGACCATAGCTCCGGGGATTTAGCTCAGTGGTTTCACCACCTGCTGTGCAAGCGCAAGGACCCGAGTTCGATCCCTGTTACC